GCATCACCCTCAACCAGGTGGCTGTTGGCTGTGAGTGCCAGGACTGTCTGTTGGCACCCACTGGAGGCTGTTGCCCTGGAGCATCCTTGCACAAGTTTGCCTACAATGACCAAGGCCAGGTGCGGCTGAAAGCTGGTCAGCCCATCTACGAGTGCAACTCCCGATGTTGCTGTGGCTATGATTGCCCTAACCGTGTAGTTCAGAAAGGCATCCGCTACGAGCTCTGCATCTTCCGCACTAATGATGGGCGAGGCTGGGGTGTCCGCACGCTGGAAAAGATCCGCAAAAATAGCTTTGTTATGGAATATGTGGGAGAGATTATTACCTCAGAGGAGGCAGAGCGGCGGGGCCAGATCTACCACCGCCAGGGCACCACCTACCTCTTTGACCTGGACTATGTGGAAGACGTATATACCGTGGATGCCGCCTATTATGGCAACATCTCTCATTTTGTCAACCATAGTTGTGATCCCAACCTGCAGGTGTACAACGTATTCATAGACAACCTTGATGAGCGACTACCCCGCATCGCTTTCTTTGCCACGAGAACCATCTGGGCCGGCGAGGAGATCACCTTTGATTACAACATGCAAGTGGACCCCGTGGACGTGGAAAGTACCAGAATGGACTCCAACTTTGGCCTGGCTGGGCTCCCTGGCTCCCCCAAGAAACGGGTCCATATTGAATGCAAATGTGGGACAACAGCTTGCTGAAAATACCTCTTCTAAGCCCTGAGAAGTTTGAGGCCACACTAACTGAAGGGGCCCGAAGCCCTCTTGTCAAGAATGACCATCAGAGCCTTGTCTGTCTCTACTTGTCCTCATCTGCCCCAACCTGTTGCCCACCTGCTCTGCTCCAAGGTCAGGGCTGTGGTGAGGACTGACTCCGGGTACCCTTTCTCTGCTCCTTTCCCTTGTCCCAGGCCCATGAGGCATTGCACTTAAAATTCCCAGCCCCATTTTCAGGAGTATATTTTTCACATCAGGATTCCCTGAAGTTGGAATTCATGTTATGTCATGGAAGTCTAAAGAGTGAGGAACTCAGCCCCAGAAATGATTTTTTTTTGGACAGCTTTTCTGTAACTCTATGTAGTTCAGGCTGGTGTTAGACTCTTAATCCTCCTGTCTCAGCTTTCTACATGCTGTGCATACAGGTGTATACCCAGCTAAGATTTTTCTTTTAATTGCTTCTGCTTGGAGCCTTTGTGACGTGTTGCAGGCCTCTTCACTGTTCTTAAGTTTGAGGAAGCAACCCCCAGGCAGACAAACATCAGAGCTCAGAGAGATACCAGACTAACTGTATCAACAACCACAGAGCCTTTATAGTCGAGAAAGAAAAGGGGGTCTCTAGGGCTAGTGGATAAGACTGGTTCTGCTCATCATGCTTTTGATGCTGGGTAGTATTGACCTTAAGACCCACAGGGTCTCAGAGTTGCAAGTCTGAGAAGCAGTTGCCCAAGTGCTACCAAAATGGGGGTGGGGTGAATACCTCTTTGAAAGCTCCACAGGAAGGTTAGCACTGAGTTTTACCATCAGGGAGTAAAGAGTTTTAGATGTGCTGGAAACCCTGCCTTGGCATGTAATACCACTGGAACTACTAGAAGCTGAAACCAAGATATAGATAGTCTGTAGATAGCACTTAAGACAATAATGTGCATTGACCAGAAGTTGAGGTGCCAGGCACTGGGTCCATATGGATTGTCTCAGGGATGCCTTGAAAACTACAGCAGTGGAGCCCAGGACTAGGCCAAAAATGATTGGGGAGAACTTATTCACTAGAATATGGTGAGATGAGAGCTAAGCCCCCTTTTACTTGTCAGCTTCAAGTACTTACCTAGGTCCACTAGTCTCAAAAGTTAAACTGCCTAGAAATGTACAAAAGGCAAAGATTCTGATGGCTGCCTTGCCCCCTGCTCTCCTCCATTTTCTTCAGGAAGCCTTTCCTGACTTCCTGTGCCCAGAGTGTCCCTATGTGAGACTGTGCACCCTGCTACCGGATCTCTGTGCCTGTATGTGTCCTGCCCACACCTCCAAGGCTGACCTTCAGGCATGGACTGAATCTGGTTCTCTTGTGTACCCCTCAGCCTTCCCCAGCCTGGAGTGTGCATCAATAAATTGCGTTGTTGAAAACTAGAAAAAAAAAAGTTTGGTGTGCTCCTGTGTTTTTGTTTTTGTTTTGGGGGTGGGGGTATGTGTTTGTTGTAAGTTTGATTGTGTGATTTATTAGTTGGTTGGTTGGTTTGAGGCGGAGTTGGTATTGGCTTGCCTGGAACTCACTATGTAGCCCAGATTGTCCTGCCTTCCCAGTGCTAGGAGTAAAGGTGTGTGCCCCCACACCTGGCAAATATGTTGATTCTTCTTTTTTTCAAAACAGCATCTCAAGTAGCCCAGGCTGGCTTCAAAGTGTACCAGAGGATATCCTTGAGCTCCTGTTCGTCTACCTCCACCTCCCAAAAGCAAGGATAACAAGTGTGTGTGACCTGGGTGGTCTGCTCTTTGAACTGATTTCTTGCGAGGTAACATCCGAAAACCTTGGAACTTACCAAGTGATAGGAAATACTAGTTATGAGCTCTTATATCACATCCGATTTTATGCTAAAGACATAATGCAGCAGTTGGCCCCCGAAAGACCAATGATGCGGTTAGAAAGTAGGGGTCATGAGCCAGCTTCTCCTTCCAGCAGGACTGGAAGACGGAGGTCAGCCGTATAGCCAATGATTCAGTAAATCAGGCCTGCCTACACTGTATTAGCTACTTTCCTGTTGGTATGATAAAATCCCGTGACCAAAAGCAACTTAAGAAAGAAAATTGATTGTGGCTTATGTCTCTAGTAGGACAGAGTCCATCACAGCACAGGAAGGTGTGACATCATCCAGCAGGAAAAGGAAATAGCTAATCACATCTTTATTCAGACATAAGAAACATAAAGAACAGCAGCAAGCAGAACGAGGCTGTATCTTTTCGAAGCCCACTGCCAGTGACCTGGTCTTTCAACAAGGCTCCACTCTTCCCATAGGTTCCACACTATCCCCCAAACAGAGCCACCAGTGGAGGACCAAGTGTTCAATACCTGAGTATATGGGGGATGTTTTTCACTCAAACCTACCACAAAATCCTCGTGAAAGCTCTGGACAGGAACGTTCAGTGGCATTTCCTGCTTGCCAAGCCCATCAGACTAGTAGAATGATGAGCGTTTACTCCAGAGAGTGGGCATAGGGATTCTGTACTCAAGACTCTCTTAGACCTTGGCCTTGGCCCATTTTTTAGACTGGACCTGATTTACACCCTTTACACACTACCATAGCCATAAACATAGTGTTTTGTTAAGTTCCATGTAATTCCAGCAAATTACTGAACTTAGCTATGAAGGGACACAGGAAATGCTCAAATTCATAGTCAACCTGTTCAGAAATGGAGAAGGCCTGGGGAACCCTGAACTTTTGGCTGGCTTCCATGCCCTTAATTGGATTAAGGCTAATTCAGACAATTAGCTTCAGAATTTTATCACCAGTACCCTAGAGATGGTCAGAAGATAAGCGCACAGACAGCTGTGGGAGGGAGAAAGCCAGACCTTCTTCAAAGTCCTTTCCCCTGGGTTTTCCTGCTTCAAGCAAGTTCCAAGTCTCTGCCCTTCCGAAGGTGAGTCATGTGATTGCATCGTCTGTCCTTAGAGAAGTACTTACGGAGTTTCTAACTCCTTTTCACTAAGCCTACCTTAGTCAAGAGTAGGTCTTTCCCTGCTTTTCCCTTCCTCTCCCCAGCCTGCAGTGGAGGGCTAGGACTGAAGGAGCCATCTTGGACCATGAGATGTCTTTGGGATGAGTGGACATGATCTGAAATAGTAAAGCAGGAACTGAAGATCCTAGGTCCCAGATGACACACGACATCATCATCAGTGGGGCGATTGGCTCCTTCAGATATCTCTTACCAGGGGAGGAATGAAATTATATCTTCTTTTATTTATTTATTTATTTATTTATTTATTTATTTATTTTATTTATTTTGGTTTTTTGAGACAGTGTTTCTCTGTAGCTTTGGTGCCCATCCCGGAACTAGCTCTTGTAGACCAGGCTGGCCTCGAACTCCCAGAGATCCACTTGTCTCTGCCTCCGGAGTGCTGGGATTAAAGGCATGCGCCACTACTGCCCAGCTAAACTATATCTTCTTTTAAGCCAGTGTTGTGCACATATTTTCAGTATATGTAGGCAAACACAAACTTAACACTAATTAACAAGGGAACCAGGGTCTAACAGAGAGGAAAGTTGTGGCCACTAGTACTCTAAGTATGATCTGTGGGTCTGGCCAGGCCTAGTAATACAGGCCTGTAATCCAAACCATCCATAGGACTGAGACCAGAGGATCCCAAAGACAAAGCAACTGAACTAGAAGCAAATTCAAGACCATCCTGAACTACCTATTGATAACCTTGCAATAAAAGTAAAAAGAGGTCTAGGCTAAACCTTGGTGGTAAACACTTGCCTATCATGCCTGAGGCCTTAATCCCAGCATTAGAAAATAAGTAAAAAGAGCGACAGGCAGACAGGAGTCAGACTGCAGCCACCTAGATCCTAACTCCACACTGTCTGCTGCTTAGCCTCCATCGTATTACTCCTCAGCTTTCTCGTCTGTACATGACTGGTATCCAGTGCTTGAACTCCTCAGCCTCTCAAGTTCCTGAGACTCCAAGTTTGTAGGCTCCACTTACTTAGCCCTTTTTTCTGTCTGCCTTCATTTCCTTTTCCCTTTCTTTATCTCTTCCTTTTTAACATCATCTATCCTTATCCTATCCTCAAACTTACAGAGATCTGCCTGCCTCTGTTTCCCTAGTGCTGGGGCTAAAGGAGAGCTCCATCATGCCCAGCTCCCATCTTCCTCCTTCCTTCCTTCCTTCCTTCCTTCCTTCCTTCCTTCCTTCCTTCCTTCCTTCCTTCCTTCCTATCTTCTTTCTTTCCTTCTTCTTTTTCTTTTCTTCATTTTCCCTTTCTTTCTTTCCCTACTTTTTCACCCTCAACAATCTTGTTGATTCACCCATGAGCTAGCCATGTGGTTCAAATTCCACCTCCTCTTCCATTCTTAGAATTCCATAAAAACTGCATTTATTTGTTTGTTTGTTTGTTTGTTTGTTTGTTTAGATCGAATAGAGTCTTGCTATGTAGCCCTTGGTTGGTGTGGGATTCCTCATATAGACAAAGTTGCCTCCACCTCCAACCCATCATATCCAGCTTTGGGGGACATTTATTCATTTTGAGATGGAGTCTCTATCTAGCAAAGGCTAGGCTCAAACTCTTTTTGTTTCTGAGAATAGCTTTGAACTTCTGATTCCCCCATCTCTACCTCCAGAGTGCTTAGATTACAGGCATGCACTGATCAGACTCAGGGCATTGTGCACGCTAAGCAAGTACAATAGCAGCAGGGGTATCCAGTCTTCAGGGAGGCCAGCAAAGGTAGCCTGACACACTCTCCACAGCTAATTATCAATGCTAAATCAAATCATGGCACAATCCCCCTGCACATTGCCACAGCCATTCCATGGATGCTACCTTTTCAATATGTTTCTTAGCCAACCAATCATCTGGAAGTTTGTAGTACTGAAGCTCAAAGTCAGGGCTTTAGGCGTTCTAGGCAACTGCTCTGCTACTGAGCAACACCCCAGCCCTGAATGTGATGCTGTAGGGACCTCATATAACTGTAGTGAAACAGCATCTGTAAGGACCCAATGTACAGTTA